CATAAAGTTTGGTTTTTTATTCATAGTTTGGCTTGTACATCAATTTGGCATCTAAATCTGGCAACATCATTCTGGGTCAAAATTCAAGTGAAAATGGTACCCTTAAATGACCTACATATATAGACATAGGTCACATTCCTCACCCCCATAACTCGGGCAAATCTTACCCAATTTTCATAAAGTTTGGTTTTTTATTCATGGTTTGGCTTGTACATCAATTTGGCATCTAAATCTGGCAACATCATTCTGGGTCAAAATTCAAGTGAAAATGGTACCCTTAAGTATCCCATTTAGACATACATAGGTCAAAATTCTCCAGCCCCATAAGGCGGGCAAATCTTGGTCAATTTTCATAAAGTTTGGTTTTTTGTTCATAGTTTGAACTGTGGAACAATTTGACATCTAAATCCGGCAACATAATTCTGGGTCAAAATTTAAGTGAAAATGGTACCCTCAAATGACCTATATAGACATAGGTCAAATTACTCACCTCCATAACTCGGGCAAATCTTACCCAATTTTCATAAAGTTTGGTTTTTTATTCATGGTTTGGCTTGTACATCAATTTGGCATCTAAATCTGGCAACATCATTCTGGGTCAAAATTCAAGTGAAAATGGTACCCTTAAATGACCTACATATATAGACATAGGTCAAATTCCTCACCCCCATAACTCGGGCAAATCTTACCCAATTTTCATAAAGTTTGGTTTTTTATTCATGGTTTGGCTTGTACATCAATTTGGCATCTAAATCCGGCAACATCATTCTGGGTCAAAATTCAAGTGAAAATGGTACCCTCAAATGACCTATATAGACACAGGTCATATTCCAGACCCCCATAACTCGGGCAAATCTTAGCCAATTTTCATAAAGTTTGGTTTTTTATTCATGGTTTGGCTTGTACATCAATTTGGCATCTAAATCTGGCAACATCATTCTGGGTCAAAATTCAAGTGAAAATGGTACCCTTAAATGACCTACATATATAGACATAGGTCACATTCCTCACCCCCATAACTCGGGCAAATCTTACCCAATTTTCATAAAGTTTGGTTTTTTATTCATGGTTTGGCTTGTACATCAATTTGGCATCTAAATCCGGCAACATCATTCTGGGTCAAAATTCAAGTGAAAATGGTACCCTCAAATGACCTATATAGACACAGGTCATATTCCAGACCCCCATAACTCGGGCAAATCTTACCCAATTTTCATAAAGTTTGGTTTTTTATTCATGGTTTGGCTTGTACATCAATTTGGCATCTAAATCCGGCAACATCATTCTGGGTCAAAATTCAAGTGAAAATGGTACCCTCAAATGACCTATATAGACACAGGTCATATTCCAGACCCCCATAACTCGGGCAAATCTTACCCAATTTTCATAAAGTTTGGCTTTTTATTCATGGTTTGGCTTGTACATCAATTTGGCATCTAAATCCGGCAACATAATTCTGGGTCAAAACTTAAGTGAAAATGGTACCCTCAAATGACCTATATAGACACAGGTCATATTCCAGACCCCCATAACTCGGGCAAATCTTAGCCAATTTTCATAAAGTTTGGTTTTTTATTCATGGTTTGGCTTGTACATCAATTTGGCATCTAAATCTGGCAACATCATTCTGGGTCAAAATTCAAGTGAAAATGGTACCCTTAAATGACCTACATATATAGACATAGGTCACATTCCTCACCCCCATAACTCGGGCAAATCTTACCCAATTTTCATAAAGTTTGGTTTTTTATTCATGGTTTGGCTTGTACATCAATTTGGCATCTAAATCCGACAACATAATTCTGGGTCAAAACTTAAGTGAAAATGGTACTGGGTCAGGATTTAAGTCATAGGTCAAAATATTCGGCCCTTTAACTCGGTCAAATTTCATCAGATTTGCACAAGGTTTGGCCTCTATATCAATTTGGCATATAAATCTGGCTATATTATTCTTGATTTGTGGTTTTGACCGATTTGCCGTAAACTTATATTCAGAGCTCTACAGAAGCACTTAATGAATGTGTGTTTCAGCGATTTGTTTAGGTTCGCCTACAACAGTGGTTAAATTGTGTACCGCTCGATTGGTTTCAAACTCATTTTCAAAGGTCGCTGAGAGAATTCTTTTACACGCACTAAAGGAGTCGAAGGTTTTATTTGTTTTCATTTTTTGACTAAATTGTAACTCGCATTTAATCTATCTAAAGTTCCCTAAGATTTAGCATTTGGTTAATATCACCTGTATATACTTTCGTGGAAAAATAATTGCCATCGTAAATATGAGTTGAAAGTCGTGACAGCCTGTTTTCTGGCACTTGCTACAATTGTCGATATCCATTAAGTGCAATGCTTAAAGCCATGCATTGCAGTGGATATCCGTAGCGCACCTTTATTTTGGGCGATCTCATGCAGCGTGGCCACGCTTGGCAATGTGCAATGGTCTTGAAAATTGAATGTCAATTTTCGACTCATTTCACGGAACACTTGAATTACTTTGCTGAAAATCGCGTAGTGTAGGAGGAGGTGAACCTGCAATTGTCGGCTTATTTGTACACTTTTCGCGTTTCTTATTCTTAAAACTTGTGCTTCACGTTGTCAACATCAAGTGGCGCCCAGGCCACGATAACCCTCGATAAACTGACCCCATCCAATATCCTGGCAGGCGCCAGTATGGATGGATCGAAGATCCACCCTATAAATATATTAAACTGAGTGAATAACTGAATGTCTGGGGGTTGAAAGTATTAGGGAAATGCTTAAATATTTTTAGGCGTATGCACATGTAAATTCCGTAAGAGTCTATATGAAGGCTAACCAAGAGTAGATCACTTTATACTATGATTTCTAATAAATAAGAAAATGTAATCTATTTAGATCTGGGCTCGGAATACCACCTATTAAATATAAAGCATTAATGATTTTCTGATGGTCAAGCTTTCATTCTCATGTATTCATGCTTAGGGGATGTTAAATATGTGATACTTCAGCTTCAGTGCAGGCTGTGGTTAAACTTCCTAATTGCGTGCCGAGTAGCACCGCAAAGCGCTATCCCTGCTATCCTTACTAAGAGCGTGTCAATTGCTGCACTGTTAGGGTCTTTGTCTTATTTCCTTGGAGTGGTCAGCGTATGTTGCAATTTCTGAATCGGTCAAGTTGCTACTGTTTTTGTGGTCGATTTTCCATTAAATCGAGTTGCTTCTGCTCTTGAATTGGCTCTGCGGTCATGTCGCTGGCTGGTGGCAACATCCACTTTACACGGGTAAGAGCTTGTAATATAATATGCAAGCCTCGCTCTTGTGGTATTCGACCAAATGTACTTCTTTTGATTATAAGTTGCAGATAAACTTGAATGTGTATTTCAATCAAAGCCGGATTCTTTTTGGTTATTATAATGTTTTAATATAATTAAGACCCCTCGGATTTTATAAAAATCGAAATTCTGCCTGTGTTCATCATATTGATGCAAACCTTTCGACTTCGATTCGACAATTTTCTTAGTCTCCCGGTCACTCGCATAAAAACAGAACGTTTATGAACTTTTTGTGTGGGTATGAAATGAGTTTTAAATGCCTCGTTATATGTTAATTGTTGTTAATGTCTGTTATCATTGTTATTGTCAATGTTGACACTACCATGGCTTACACATTGGGCGCAGAAAGTGACTATCGACCGCCTTGTTGTAACATGTAAAATCCATTTATTTCGACATAATGCACAAAAATCTATACCCATTCCATTCACTTGCTCAACGCGCAATTTCTCTCTCTTCAGAGAACCCCCCCAATTTGTTGTGCTTCGTGTTGTTCAGTAAGCACAAGTAAATTGCCCTTGATGAGAGTGATCGACATGGAAATACCTCGTTTCCAGGTCTCAAAGTCAATAATACATACCTACAAGTAGGCATTTAAAAGCATATATGTCTACATAAAAAACATCGATGCTTTAGTTAGTTGGTAATGATTAGTAAAGTTAGGCAGCATCATGCAGTTTTATTTGAAATTTATTTATTTAAGTTTTGATATTGACCTGTTCATACAGGCACACAATTGTACACATATTTGACAAACAGTGCCCGTATTGACCGCACATACACATGCACCCCTGACTGACATGTAATCTTTGTGTTGACCTTAGTCGCAACCTCGTTAAAATTTAATTGATGCGAAAGCCAAGGTGAAATATCCGTGAATTTTAAAGTGCAACTTTATTTGCAACATTTGCTTTTGCAATGCATCGTATGGCATTGCAACAATATTTACACTCCTGGCATTGTTATGAAATGGAGATTGGCGCTTGTATCGCTGTTGTTCCTAAGCATCATGCTGTTTCTGCTTGGCTTGTTCTTTGATGATTAATTATATTGCTTTTGTTCTATTTGTGCAGTTTCCATTGCAGCCCATCGTGCACATGTGCGTGAGTGGACATGTATGTATATATAAATGCATGTGTGTATAAGTATTCTCGTATTTCAATAGCACTGACTTTGGCTGGCCATATATCGGGCTACATGCTGCACACCAACGACTACTTACATTTGTACATACTTACATCAAGTACAAGTAATTGCAATTGCTATTGTTAGCTGCAATGCAATAATGCGGTCTCTCAGGCACAGGCCCAGGCCCAGGCACAGACAAACATAAGAGCAGATGGATGTGCTGCTCGCATGCTGTTCGTTTATGTTGGTGTCATTTGCAACAATATGCACAGCAAGCGTTTATTATATCTGACAATGTTTCAAAAGTTAAGTAGCCTGTGGCCACAGCAACTTGAAACATGTCTACACACATACATACATACATGTGCAATAATTTGGGTTTTTTTTTAATTAAATACAAATTAAATAATTACTTATCTTTCTATCATCTGCTTTGCAACTCTTCCATTATGTACCATCGATTCTCCGATTCGACAGAAATCATTAGGCGATAGAATTCCTCACCTTTTTTCGTATTCATCTAGCAATCATTGTGTTTAAAAACAAATCCATTTAAATTTTAAAACAAAGAAAATATAAAAATTTATATATTTCGAGACAAACAAAATTTAAAGTAATTAATTATTCTGAGTATGGCTGTTAAACATCTTACTAGGACCCAAAGGAAACACAAGCAATGTCCTACAAATATTAACTCAGCTCATAAAAAGCTGATACCGAAATATGCCAAGTCCAACAATAAGGTTCTCTGTCAGCAGCAGCGAATTCTGAAGCAGAGCTTCCGAAATACATCCAAACGTCAGGAGCTACCAACTGTCCATCGTGTGTGGCGCAAAACGATAGTGCGGACCAAGCCTAAGCCAAGGAATCTGGTCCCTCGATTGTTTCGTGTAGATCGGTTAACTGGGCTACCTCTTGACTACGAGCGCACTGTGTCTAGGATAATGCACTACGTAAATCCACAGATCTTTGACGATCCCAGTCCGGAAGAGCAAATGGAGAGACTGCTTACACGCGCATTGGGAGGAATTATAGATAACTGTAGTAATCGGTGTCCGTATTACTTTAGAAATCAAATGCGCACTTTTTTAAGAAGCCAGGGATCGAAGAGCACTAGAGGGACTGAAGGTACCGACAACGAGGATTTGAGTCAGTTTTACTGTGCCTGGTTAGTTTTCTTTGTGCTTTCTGCTCACTTATTTAATACTCATTTTTCAGCAAACGTGGTCCAATTATTCTAGAGCAAGCTCCCACATATAGAAGCAAATTCAATTACAACAGCCTTAAGATAAATACCAAATAGCCATGTCTATTGGATTTACAAAGCTGTGTAATTTTATGGATGTATACCCATATGTTATACATATATACGTTCTGAAATTGCTTGTGGTAAACGACGGAAAATGAGTTCTTTGTATATGTTGGAAAATGCTTTGGCGTGATAATAAATCGAACAGCGCTATGCAATTTTTAACCCACGCTATTTTACAAAATGAGTGGGCAATAAGTGTGGGTATATTTTATAGCAGGTGAAAGGCTCTGGCCATATTTTGGCTATCGGACTAACAACCAGTAATAACAGTTCAATTGTATGGAAAAGCATTTAGGCTTCCTCGCTCTCTAATTTGCTGCTGGTACTTTTCCCCCACCGACCGCCAGCTAAAAAGCCAGCTGCGACGCATTGATGTCAATGATTGTGACAAGTGCACTTCCGATGCTTTGGTGTAGTCACAAGCCTTGCTCCCTGCCCCTGTAGGGACTGGCTGGGCGGTACTGGGCCACTTGAGTTGAGTTGACAGGCAGAGCCAAAGAGCGCGCATTTAACATTGTCAGAACAAGTGCCATTGTCGAGCACTTTAGCGATTCCGCAATGCCAATATATCTGCCACTAACTACACTGCACAGATCGGCTCTCGATCTGGGTGGGTGTTGTGCGTGTGCCAACTCGGTTAAGCATCAGGCAAATATGCCAAGTGCCGCCAGGCAACATTTTCTGTTCACTAATTTGAATAGCATCCAGCATCGCAAGTAGCGTCCTTTTAGCGGCAAGCTCATCCTTTTTAACATGATTTTATAGATACATATTTAATGCAATTTTTAAGCTGGGTGCAGCAGTGGATTTTCTCGAATCTACAACGACCTAGCACGAGGGCCGCAAACTAATCGCCTAAAGCAGCCGTGCTTGCAATTATTATAAGCAAGAACGCTATGGTAAATATTAAAGTGGCTAATCATAAGAGTGTTCGGATTGGACTCTAGCCAGTCGGAAACTGTTGGCTGCCAGCGTGGACCTAAAAGAACGCGGCTTAACACTTATAGCTTATTTCTGCGAGTCCAGTTGGTCCCTCTGACAGCCAGCTAGCTCTTATTAATATTTTCAAAGGGTATGTGATCCTTTTTAATATAGTAAAAGCCGCCATGCAACATTTTTAATTCTGATAAATGCTAAGGCAAAAGTTTTTAGTTTCTTACTAGATTGATTATTATTTATTCCCTATTCTTGTAATAGTCAGTTAATCAAATGCTTGTGTAGACAAGCCCATGCTTGAAATTAGTAAATCAGGAATTGAAAGCCTAAAATCTGTGTTCAATATTCAGCTCCCTTCCTGCTTATTTAGTATTTGAAGGGGAATACTCTTGTTAAACGCTTCTGCCGTTTCTGCCTTCTGATTGTTGCTGCCATCATTTGTTTACCATGCTCTTTTGTTTACATCTTAAGCGCGGGCTGCTTTAACGGTGTACGGCAATCATTTGGCTGCTACTTGAAATTGTTTTGGTTATTTAGCTGACGTCACGGACTTGTTTTGGTACCAGTTAAACAAACAAAACAACACTGAGACTTCGCAGCAACGGTAATCGCATCAGCTCTGTCATCAGCATTCAGTTTCAACTCCTCATCATGGTCAGCATTGTCCTGCCGGCATCAGGTTCAGCCATACCCCTGGGCCAGGTCGCATTGGTGGCCGGTTTGCCGGTTGGTGTCGCTGTTGCCATCGATGCTGCTTTTGACATGCGACAATATTGAGATATCGTCTCAAGTGTAAATTGTTATTGACACTTTGCGTAGCGTGCGCTTTAGACATCCATCCCCCTGTAGCAGTATCATCAACGTCAATGCCACACAATTCTCCTCCGCCCCCGATTTCCGTGCCTTTCTCGTACCCCAGCAGCTGCCTCCTATTCTGTTCCCCGGCTCTGGCTGTTGATTGTTTGTCTGAGCATTTGTTTAGTTTGTGCATTTGATCGGCAACTGCCTTGACGGTCTTCATATCATCATTTTTTCACTGCCATCCTGCTTCCGTTATTAAACAACTCCACAAATATATAATTTTTTTTATAAACAAATTCAAGTTATCAGTATTTATATCGAGATTCTTTTGAGCGTACGAATTTAAAAACTCAAAGCTAAATTACATATTTTCATATCACGCAAAACTGCTTAATGATTTAAATATAAATATTGAAAAATACCCGAAGCTACAGCAAAGATAACTATTGACTATTGCCGTTGACATTCTAATCGTAATCATTCACGTAGGTGCCTCTTCAAAACACATTCATTTGTTTATAAACTGTGAAAGTCGTTAGTTAGTCGCAGCCTATACATTCTATACGTTCTCCTAACTGCGGACCTCCCACTTATCCAGTAAACTGTGCGGTCTAACTTCGGTTTGGGACCTTCATGGGCAGGATAAGTCGGCAAGGCATCAGGACTGTGGCGTTCATTTGGTTCGTTGTGCCTTATTCATTAGCTGGTTTCCGTTTCCGCTTCATTCAATTCTCTTGATGCCTTCACTGCGACTGACTTAATGCCATTGACGTAGCCCTTGCGCTGAATGCTGTGCTACGTTTTTCTATACTGCCCCTTGTTTATGTGTTTCTATGAAGCAAGCGGCCAAACACAATTTTCATAGGAACTCCCTTGAAATGGGCAACTGGTCTGCTTTCCGCCAAGCTGACTCACTCTATTTCGCAATTCATTTTCAATTTATCTTGCCTAATATCGACAGGCTTTTATGGTTCGCCCTTTCTTGCCTGTTTGCTGGTAACTGGCTTAAATGGCTGACGGAATGAACGGACTGTGACTGAAGTGGCAAGGGTTTTATGTCTTTTAGCTTTGTTTTAGACTGAGTCAAAAGTATACGTTGATATAGGGCATTGGCTTACGCACACAGACATTTTCCAGAGACTCGTCAGTGCGATATGCCGGAATGTATCTGGTTAGCAAATCTGATATTTTCTTACCTGGCTTATCGACTTCTGCTTCGCATTACTTATGCATTAATAAAAAGAAAATGCAAAGAGACACAATGTGTGTGTTTTATCAGCCGTTGACTGTCGAATTTACAGACACTTGCAATTATACTTACTGGTAATAAACTACAAAATGTACATGTATTGGTTATATGCGAACGTTCTACATTTTAATAATATTCCACAAACCGGCCGCAGTTGGGTTCACTAGCAGGATAGACAGACGAGCTCATCTCAGCTCGTATTCATTTATTTTAATAAAGTTAAAAGCCACCTAACCATCAACCTGTACACGAACAAATGCTGGATACTGTGCCAAACTCCCTCGTCGTTGGAAGTAGTAAAATTAAAAATTTAAACGAGTTGCTTGAAATATTTTTGTAAAAGCTCACCCTTTTTGTCGTCAGTTGGCTACTGCATCAGAGATTGGGGTGTAGCATACAATCATATATGAAAACAAAAGCAGGGATAAACAGAGAATAGGTCAGGGCTCATTCATTAACATTTGTTCGTTCGCCTAACAGACTGTCAGTCTGATTTTGGTTGTTCGTATTTTCACTACTTCTGTATGGCAAAATAACATCCCCCAATTGGTCTGGTGCACACTTTTCTCTGGCAAGTGCAAAGTGCTTACATTTTTCTGGCAACGGAAATTCGTATTGCTTCCGGCTTTTTGCTTCAACTCCCTTTTACTTCGACTGCGGCTGTTGCTTGCGATTGCAAATTTTTGTATGCAGCGGCTATGCCAAAAATTTTCTGCCAATACTTTCACTTACATCAGTATGTGTGCATGAAGTATTTATGTACTTATGTGTGTGGCAATAAGTTATATGCTTTTGCCTGGTGTCAGGCGCACGTAGTTGCCAGCCAAGGCGAGCAACGAGCAGCGCTCTAGCCAAAAACAAAGGATTATAATGGCAGTGATGACCTACGTTCAGCAGCTTAACACGATTCCAGATTATACACACGAGCACAGAAAATTCTTTTACGTTTTTAATGGACCTTTGAAATGCCTTCAATACAGAGTTAAAAGCTTAGCTATCAATGTCCTGTTTGCTCTCAACCCAATTTAAGTACACAGGTTACTAAAATATTGCATTTGATATTTTTAATCAAATTAAAAATCCAAAAGAAATGATATCGATCGATTAATTGAGCTTTTCTCTGTGGTCAAGGTTTATCAGCTTTATTTCTATCCAAATGCTTTTGAAGGTATCGTTTTATTATAAGTATATACAAACTGTTTACAAAATCACTAATTTTGAAAACAGGAGTTTGGCTCAATTTTTCAAGTGTTGTGCTCTTGAAAAATTGATTTTCGTTTTCTACATATTTTAAGTATCTTCAGCTCACACAAAACACGTTTAACTTTCTGGTCTTCATTCCTAACACTGGACAATATTCGTCGAGAAAAGTTTTACTTAGCTTCTTTACCGTGATACTTTTGGCCTTCACAGTTTGACATCGTCCTTAACACCCTCTACGCTTCTTTTAATATTTAGGTTTACTAGGTTTGGCTATTGCTGTTATTGTTGTTAGTGGGACTTTGTTAAGCTCATCTCAGCTGACCGACCGCATGCAACTTTGTTGATATCGTTGGCTGGGGTCCATTTGCTTTCATTATATTTTTCGTTGTATACTATTTCAATTTTGTTAAGTTTTCGCCTTTCCCCTTTGTGTGCGTTGCTTCCTTTTCGTATCTACGCGTAGACACTTGATGTCCCTTGCTACGTCCATAATGGAATTATTTGTATTAAATTGTGGCAACCAATAAATGAAATTGGAGCAGATCTCCCAACATTATTACCACTACCTACGTCTGTAGAGGAAGCAACACTAACACAATTGAAAACTTGCAGAATGACGCTTTTATTCGCCTAGAAAGCGCTTCAAATTAAATTAAAAGTTGTGGTTCCTTCCCCTTTGCTTCTCCTTGATTTCGCCTTTAATGTTGCCATTTTGGAGTTCCTTGAGTGTTGCCCTATCTCGTATTCCTTTGATGTTGTTGGGTTAAGCTTGTTTATTTGGACCGCAAACAGTTTTTCCTTTAGGTCTAAGCTTTGAGCAATTTTTGTAAATTTGTACAAGGAGGTAGTTTAATGCTATTGCCTAGTGACGAATGTCTATTTAAGTGCAGGTGTTTTGTCGGATTCTCTCTATGCGCTCGACAGATTTCAGCTGTACGACAGCGCTAGCCGCTGCATAAAATC